TACCCCAGACCTGCCATCCAGGTTTTCCAGTTTCTCTCTTACTTCACTCGCTCTATGGCGGTGCAGTGAGCCATTCACTCCTCTCTCCACTCATCCTTCCATTTGTCTCTCCCCGCCTTCTCCCTTCCTCCTGCTCTTCCTCCTTTTTCCCCCATTCACGCACTCTTTGAATTTTTTTTTTTTTTTTTTTTTTTTTTTGGTGGTGTGAGCAAGAGTGTGTGAAGCGAGACTGTGTGGGAAGCTGTGGGAATGATGGGGCTGAGTTTGGTCAAGGTGGGAGCTGGGAGAGCAGGATCAGTTTTTTTTTTTTTTTTTTTGGTACCGGGGATTGAACTCCGGTCCTTGTGCTTGCAAGGCAGGCCACAGAACCGCTGAGCTACATCCCCGGCCCTTTCCCCACTGTTTGAAAGCCAAATTCGTACCTTGGAACACTTCTCTAAACATTGCTTCTTGCTGGTTATTAGCTAGAGCTCAAACCTTGTCTATGGTTCTCCACCACGGCCAGGGGAGGTTTGCAGAGCTAAATGGGTAAGTCCCAAGGGCAGTCAACCAGATAGACAGAGGCAAAGGCCTTGGGAACCCACACAGCTCCCCAGAAAGCAAGCCCTCTGCACTCTGGAGCGCTCCGGCCTGCCCTCCCCTGCCCATCTCCAGGCACACAGCGCTGCCTCTCCTCAAGTGTCAGCTGTACCTGTTCTAGAATTTAACCTACCTGAATTTTGCAGCAGGTGTTGTCAGTGTGGGTGAGGCTTCTGTTTCTGAGACACACGCATGTGGCTGTGTTCTTGCTCTGACAAGCAGCATCACAGCCTACACCACCAAGTACGTTGGTGATGGACGCCTTCCTTAGTAAGCGCCAGCTTTTCAGTTACAGGTAAACGTTTATGAACACGGGGACCGTCAGGACAGTTGCAAATAAATGAGACTCCGCTGTCCAACACAGCTCTTCCCTACAAGCATCCTTCACCAGGGGCGCAGATGCTGGGTAGGCAGACCAACCTGATGCATGGCCTCCTGTCCCCACGCCCAGGCACACTTCCAAAGAAAGCAAATCCTCCCCAGCTCTGGCAAATAGGGAACGAGGGAAGGCCTTCTCAAGCCCAGGGCCTGGGTGCTCAAGCTGGATCTACAGAGCCCACCGCACAGGGCTGACCTAAAGTCACAATGGTCATGAGGGCCCGTCGCTGTGTCCCTGCCTGCCAGCCACCATGGCTCCAGCCACTACAGGTGTGTAGGGTTTGCCAAAGTGCAAGCTGGGAAGAGGAACACATAAATATAAACGCAGGCAAGTTGCCTTTAAAACAGGGCAACTAAAGCATTTATCTATCTATTATATAGATAGATAGATAGATAGGTGGACACATATATGTATATATATTTTTTCTCCCACAACAATGCCCCAGAACCATCGAGATCACTACACTTAGCATATGTCACATGTTAGTAAATTGAACATCTATTCAAAATTATCAATAAGATATTGCCCTTCTTTAGTGGTTCTTAGAACAGTTAAAGGGTGAATCTTTACCTGACATGCCATGTAGTAACAGACTTTTTTTTTCCACTCAAATTTCATGCACCCCCTCTAAAAAAGCCACATGGAGAAAAGAAAACTCATAGTATTTGCACCTAACGTTGCCATTATTCAAAAATGCCTTCCTAAAAAGTACATTTGACAAGTAAACAAAAACCAATGAAATGAAAGGTTAATTTGTTCCATGATGAGCAAAACAAATGAAACCAATTTTCTTTGACCAACAGTAGGAGCATCCTCTACCGATAAAATGAGGGGGCATTATTGGACTTAGCCTCCACAAATTTTTAAGATTCCTCGTAAGAACACCTTTTGAAATGAAAAACAGAAAGAAGCACTCCAAACAAATATATGTCTCATTAATATTTAAGCTGAAAGTTAGGTTTAAGAGGCAAACTTTATTTTAATCAACAGATTTCTTTTCTTCGCTACATGTGGCAAAGAACTCTGAGGTATGAAGTGGCTCCTGTGGCCTGGACGCAGGGGAAGCCAGCGCTGACGCGGCCGGCACTGTGGGTGCGAGGAGCCAGCCCAGGCTGGATGGCGTCCCGCCTGCCGTCCAGGAGTGAGCCATCGCTCGGCACAGATCCGACCCTCTGAAGACATGGGCAGACCAAGAGGAGTACGGACAGCAGCACCTGCGACCGCCTGCCTTCCTCCCAGGACCAGGAGAGGCTTCGCAAGCGCAGGTCTTCAGCCTGCAGCAGAAGGAGCCAGCACCTGCTGGGTCCCTGCGCACCGCTCCGCCCAGTTCTGTCCCCGGCCAGGTGTGAGGCCCGAGAAGCTGACTTCTTTTCACTGTTTCACCTGTTCAGGGGGAGGGATTGTAAAATAAATGTTAGGAGCAAGTTTAGAAATTGATAAATGTCGATTAAGTAAATTCTGCCTTAAACTGATCGACTGATTAGTTTGCCGCAAATCAAGCATTTTATACATTATCTCTTCTAATTATGCCAAGCTAAAAAAAAAATAAAAAATAAAAGAAGAAAGAAAAGAAACGTAAAATCCTGGTAAATAACAAGACCAAAGCTACTCGTGCGTTGACACTAGAGTGTGAGAGTCGTTTGTCATTCCATGCCCTCTCCCCATCTGAAGGAGTCTGGCTTCTCCAACTATGGCGCTCTTCGCAGAACTCAGACACAGTCAGCATTGCTGTGTCCTGGGTGTCCTTCTTCACAAGCGGCGCTCGCGATATGATACTTACCACTCAATAGCCGCACACTTCCCAAACGCGCGCACTTGGAGACATCTGTAACCTCCTGCCCCACCCCTTCAACCACTCCAAGGGCTTCTGCCTACTTTCTACACTTATGAATACCCATATCCGGCCAGCCGCCGCACGAGCACCAGTGCGGAAGACCTAGCTACTGAGTGCCCAGTAAGAACTCACAAATTTACCCCACCTGAAATTCAGTCCGTGTATGTATTCTGTGCTCACGCTTTTAAAAACTTACTTGATTAGAACTACATTATGTCCACTTGGGTTCATTCTCAATAAAAAGGAACTATACACCGTTCTTAGTCCCGGGCAGCACAGTACATGCAAAGGACAAGGAAAATTAACATTCTAGAGGAATGTAAATAAACAGCATAAAACAATAATTCCTTGTCCGCAAGGTAAATGACCGTATTCTCACCCTGACTCCCCAAAGAGCTGCCCAGAGAGGCCTTCCTAAAGTCCGCCGGCACTTCTCGAGTTAGTCAACATCTTGTCCCTTCCTGCAACTTCGCTGAATTATAGGTTGCCTGACCTTTCAAACATTTGATTTGAGTCTTGGTTTCTATGGTAACACCAGGGCCGAAGTCACAGCCTCAGCCCAACCAAGGGGAAAGCCCTGGAGCTGTTCAACCGCGGGCCCTGCGCTGGGGCAACTTGTGCACGGTGGAAAGCAGTCGTTTCCACCCCTTCCTGGAAGCAGACCGGAGTGTATGTGCTGGGAAGGGACACTCAGTCCTCCTTGTCCATCAACAAAGGCCAACCAGTCACATTACACGCAATAGGTCCAGGAAGGTAATTTTCCTTTTTCACCCATCAAGAAAGTCTCTTCCTAGAACATTTCAGGCTCATAATCCTGTTATCATCCTGAAGTTAAATATACACATCCTCGAAAATTATTCTATATTTTAACGTTCATGAAACAGATTTAACAGTGCAAATTGTTTTTCATTTTGAATTTTAAAACACCACTCTTCGTGCCAACTTTTTTCCTTGAAAACGAACCCTATGGCGTGTCTGAGATAATTTATATGGGGGCACCGCGCTGCACGCCGCTCCACTCCAGTTTAACTTGTTCACACAGTCCGGAGAAACCCAGCTGTTAACCCCGGAGGAGCGCTGCGATGGCCTTCTACAGGACAAACGGGCTTCTCCTGCTCGGAGGGGCCTCTGCGTGGGCGGCGAGGAGGTCAGTGTGCGAGAGGACCGAGCTAAGGGCGCTTGGAGTCACGGATCCGAGGCTC